CGCAGACTTTATCCCTACCTGTAAGAAGGCAGAGAGGCTGTTTTAGGAAGACGCTCGGCTCGGGAGGGGAAAAGGGGAGGGACAATAACAAACAAGCTGATCAGACAACCGAAGCGAAAATACAAAAATAGCAATAAGTAATGCAATCAGAAAATCAAAACAAAGACAACCACAAGTAGCAACAAAAGTCTAGGGATATAAAAAAAAATACGAAAAACACTAAGTGGTGAATCAAAGCTATCCTTACAAACGAGGACCAAAAAAGATTAAGAAAAAATATTACGTTCTTGCACAAGCGATTGCTATAACCAACAGAAACTTGCACACGCGATTTGCTACAGAGAATACAGCTTTACCCAGACCAGCAGAATAAATAAAAAGAAAAAAAAATTAGCTACAGTTTTGGCTTATTGAAAATATCCGAATCTCTAGATCCTAGCCGGAGCAAATGAGATTTGGTGATTTTTTTCTTATCCGTTTTAGTTGTAGTGGGCAGAGTTATCCGGCACATCTATTAGTGTGAGGTAGCAGTTATCAATGGAATGTCGAGCTACCTGAGCTGATTCTTTTGACAATCCCTCTAACATATGTCAATTGCGACAAAATAGGCCAACCACGTTATTCCAAAGTTTCTAGAAGATTAAAAGCGTCATTTTTTCAATTTATGTTACTTCTTAAATTATAAAAAATCATGATAAAAGCATTTTTATGTTACTTATTTGTTTTCAGTAGGTCGCATTAATAACAATAATTTTCATAAAATATTCCTACAAAAATCCTCATACAATCACTGTAGGATAATATCTAATGATTGAGGAGTTCTATTTTACAATTTCTTCTTTTATTGAGTTAGTGATATATAGTAATATTCACCATCCTCAAAATGTACGCTTTTCATTTAATGACTCAAAGAAAGACTAAAGTTACTCATAGAGATAGGTTACACGCGCAACGCGCGTATCCTAAGACTAGTATTATTTAAAGGGCGTTAAAAATCTTATCCTGGCAAGCAGATGAGAATAGAGAGCTAATAGTGTGTATTTAACTGGTTTTAGCAGGTTGATTACCATCTTTGCAGGTAACAACTCCTTGTTTACTGTAGTAATTGGCAACATAATCTGATTGTGTAAACTTCTATACAGTATAGGTGTATAAAAATTAAACCATATCGCTTTGTACTGAGCCAAACAATTTTATTTTGGAGCTACTTAATGCTGGAAATGATGGTTAACAATGCTATTGAGGCCGCATTATAAGGTTAATCTTGAATGAAGTGATAGCTAAAGCTGCATATTATTTAAGTTATATATAGTGACAATGTAATACGTGTATTTTACGGGTTGTAGTAGGTTACTTATCATCATCTTTTGCAGGTAACAAACCCTTGTTTACCGTAGTAACTGACATTTCAAACGATTGTTGTGTAAAAACTAAACCATTTTGTTTTGCACTAAGCCAGACAAATTTTTTTTTTTTTTGGGGGGGGGGTGTGGTTTATTAGTGCTGGAATGATGGTGAATAATTCTGTTGGCACCGCATTATAAGGTTAATTATGAATAAAGTGGTGGCTGAAACTGCAAGTTTTCAAATGATTGCCGTGTAATGCAAAGAGTTGTACGAAGAGATCATTGATTAGAAACATCTTCAAAAATATTTTGCCTAGTGATATTGCACTTGTGATTAATTCTCCAGCTGTAAATTTCAACTGCTAAAGCTTTAAGAAACAAATATCGCAGTTCTGACAAGGAGGAGCAAGATGCATGCTGAAGGAGTTTCTTCAATGCTTATGCTGATGAATTGGCAAATTTTCGTGAGCATGGTCACGCTAGCTGGTGAAGTTTGGTAAGCATTAGCAGGACAATACAGAGCAACTTTTTCTGTTTTATCCATCCACTTAACATGTCATTCTTTTACTTTTTTGTCACCATATTTGTAGTTTCAAAGCTTTCAATTTGTGCGTTGCTGTATTTAAACCCAATGAAGAGCTTATGAGCATAGCAATAATAGGCTTTACCTATCCACGGTTCCTGACAAAGAAGATTTAAAGGAAAACTTAATCTACCTTTACATTTGATGAAGGTCCTTTCATCGGTCATCTAAAGGCAAAATACCTTAAATCACCCCTAAATTTGGCTTAGATTATTAGTATCCTTCCCGAATTATGTCCGGTCTTAATTATCTCCCTCAACTTGGCCTTTTGAGAGCCATTACCCCCTAGATGCTGATGTGGCAAAAAGTGTGGGTGCACTCACCTGCCACGTGGATTTTTCTGTCTATATGACATTTTTTTTTGAAAAATAAAATATTTTTTTTTACCTTTTTAAGAATATTACTTTTTAGATAAAAAAAATTTCAAATACAATTTATAATAAAACTTGGATAGAACTACGTTATTTAGGCTAAATATTTGTATTTGGCCAAAAATAATAAAATTTTAGTTAATCTTTTTTTGAATTTGACCTAAAAATAAAGATTTATACAATTGAAATAAATAGTCAAGGCATCTAAAACGAAAAAACGAATTACAAAAACGAAAAAACAGAAATTTGAGAATTACAAAAAAAAAAGTAAAAAAAAAAACCATTTTTTTTAGTAGCGTTGGGGGGGGTGGGGGGGGGGTCGAGTGAGGGTGGGGCTTGGCGGGGATAGCAGGGTGGGTGGTGACGGAAAAAAAACTGAAATTTAAAAAAAAAAACTCCTTTTTGGAGAGAGGTGGGGTGGGGTTTGGGTGTGGGGGCGTGTGGGAATGGGTTGGGGGATAGGGTGGGGAAGGTTGAGAAGGAGTTTTGGAAAATGTTTTCCCTTCTCTTGATAAGGAAAACATTTTCCTCCAATTTTCCTCCAATTGGAGGAAAATGAGTTGATTAGGAAAATATTTTCCAAAATATTTAAGCCAACCAAACATGGGAAAATTGGAAAATATTTTCCGGAAAATATTTTCCTTCGTACCAAACACACCCTTAAAGTTAAAATGGCTGGTTCTCATCACCTTACTATTATCTTTCCATCTGCTATAGCACCATAGGATTGGACATTGAAGAGCTTCTCCTCTGCACTACTGCACCCAAGAATAAGGTATAATACAAAAGCTATTCCAAAACTAGAAATGAAAGCCATTTATTTATTTGGTTTCTTTTTACTTTCTTCATCACTTGTCTTTATATACAACTCCAATTTCCTCATACTTTAAATGATTATCCATTCATTAATTTTTTACCTTAGTAGTCTTGCATTTAGAAGAATATCATAAAAAAAAAATTTGTTTCTATTACGCTAAGAGATTTCTTTAGATGTAATGGATTAATAAGCAAGGAAAGTGAATCGATATCTTGAATGAATATCCTGGTAAGTTTATTAAACCGCCAGCTAGACTTATGAGATCCATTTAGGTTATTCCTTTACAAGAGGATATTCTAGTAACCGAAAAAGATTATAGTTAAAGTCAAGTGAGACGTGAAAGCTTTACATTATTTTTAAATCAACTCAATGCCAAGATTCATCCGAAGCAAATTATCACATCAATAATGCTGGAGAGACTTCCCTTTAAAAAATAAAATATAAAGAATTATCATCTTTTCTTAATGAAATTACAAAATATATTTTCTTTTAATCGAAACGTGCTGCAGAACAATTTGGAAAGTGATTGATATTAATTAGTAATTTAAGAGACAATTTTTGAGCGACCCCTGGAGCGAGGTGTACTAAAAAAATGCACAGAGGCATAATGGCAGGGCGTGAATATAGTGGGGCGTAGAAAATTAGTTGTCAATAAAGTTTGAATAAAGATGAGATGAAAAGGGGTAAAAAAGGCTCTGCAGGCGCACGATTAGCGAGAATAGCTAACGTGCACCATCTGCACCAACAATTATTCAGTACAATCCATCGACAGAAGAGGAATCGAAGAATACGCCGGCCACAGGACTGCAACCATTAACCTTTGGTAGCTTTCTTCCACAGAAATTTCAGCCTATCCTAGAGGAAAAGGAGAACGAAGAGACAACTAGCAAAGGGATTGAAGTGCATGCACAACAAGCAAATCTGAGAGTGGAGGAATCAATGGTACATCGAAGATTACAGTTTCGGCAACAGCAACCTCAACTCAGCAAGCACCAAATGTTGAGGAGAAGGCAGCTGGACAGACAGGAACAACTAAAGGAAAAGATTGTGATAGGAAGGCAGAAGTTCACAAATGGGTAAGCCTTTAACCTATATTCCCCCTTCTATGAGAGATGGCACGTTTGTGGTACGAATAGAGGAGGACAGGGCTCAGGAGGAATCACTAAAGAATGCCCTAATTGGGTATGTCCTTGGGGATAATCCGTATGAGAAGTCTATGAAAAATTATGTCACCAATGTATAGAATTTTGTGGCACAGCCAAAAATTCTTTACCATGATGAAAGATACTACATTTTCCAGTTTCAAAGTATAGAAGATAGAGACCTAGTTCTTCATGCTGGGCCATACACCTACCATAACAAACCATTTATCCTACATCATTGGCAGATCGATTTCTGTTTTAACCCAGAGTGCTTAGCATTATTCCTTTGTGGGTGAAATTTCCAAGGCTTCCGTAAGGATATTGGTCCACTAAAGCATTGAGTAAGCTGCTAGTATAGTAGGGAAACCTCTATATACTGATAGGGTAACAACTGAAATGGAGAAGGCCTCTTATACAAGAGTACTGGTGGAAACTGATGTATCACACCCACTCCTTGAGAGTTTTGAGATGCAAACACCAAAATGAGTGATAACGCAATAGATTGCTTATAACTGGAGACCCAAATTTTGCTGTGATTTCATTAGAATTGGTCATGATACAATAGAGTGTTGGGAAAAGACAAAGCAAGTAAATGAAGAGGAATTTAAGGAGCAACCAAGAAGAAGAAGAAGGAACAAGAAAAAGAAGCAGATCACTCAACAATGGGTGCAGAATATACATGTTTCTTCAACTTCAAATGAGGCAGAATCATCTGGAACTCAGAAAGAAGAGTAGGTGAGAATGCCCACTACAGAAAGAGTACAGGCCACTACCAATCAAGTTCCTACAGAAGATCCAAACATGGCACTCAGCAAGATAGGAGTAAGTCAAGGAAAACAGACAACCATTGTTAGAGGCAATACAGTTGTTGCAACTACCTCTAGCAATAGGTTTGCAATCTTACAAAATCAACTCTCAGACCAGGAGCCAAGGGATGCTGGGCCAACCAGCTCTTCCCACCAATGAACATTTGTACTTGGAATATAAGAGGGCTTAACAATCCCTTTAAATAGAAAGAGCTAAGAATATTTCTGAATAAGTACAAAATAGATGTAATTGGATGTGTAGAAACAAGAGTAAAGGAGAGGAAAGTTGGGATACAGAAGGTGGCCAGGGGCTGGAATGTTTGATGTAATTATAAAGACCACCCAAATGGTAGAATCTAGCTAATGTGGAGAAACAATGTAAACATCTAGATCATTGAGACTACAGATCAATATATACATTGTGAGGTGCAGAAGGATAGTTTCAGATCACTTCTAATAGTGGTGTATGCCAGAAATGATGTAACTCTCAGGCATCAGCTATGGAATCAACTTGCACAAGTAGGAACTAATGTACAGGATGCTTGGTTATTAAGTGGGGACTTCAACAATGTGCTAACTTCAGAAGACAGAATAGGAGCACCAGTCACTCAATCAGAGACATAAGGCTTCCAAAATTTAGTTGATGTGCTGTAATTGACTCCACTAAAAAGTGTTGGATGGTTTTTTACATGGTGCAACAAACAACAGGAAGATAAAAGGGTGTATAGCAATATAGATTGGGCAATGGGCAACTATGTGTGGCTGCAACAATATAGCCACATAGAAGCTGAATTCATGGATCCAGGAGTGTCAGATCACTCCCCAATCCTCATACACACCAGTCAACATAAGAAAGGACTGCACCCTAAACCTTTGAAGCTTTACAAAAATGTCATGGAACATCCAGAGTTCACGAACATAGTGCAAGAAGTATGGCAGCAAGGAACTCAAGAAGAACCCATGAACAAAATCTGAAAGAAATTGAAGGCACTCAAAAATGGACTTAAGGACCTGAACAAATATAGGTCCTCCTATCAGCAGAGACTTGATCAGGATAGACAGAAACTAGAGGTAGTACAGGGGAACTTAAGAATTCTCCTCTAGATCAGAGCTTGTTCAATCAGGAAAAAGAAATCTTGACAGAATTGGAAAAATGGAGTCATATAGAAGAACAAGTATTACAGCAGAAGTTAAGGGCCACTTGGATTGAATGTGGAGACTCAAATACCAAATACTTCCATGCTCAATGGAAAATTAGGACAAGCAAAAACCACATTGCATCCATCTATAATGCAAATGGTATTAAGCTAACTGATCCAATCCAAATAGAAGAGGAGTTTATATCTTTCTTCACAAATCTTATGGGAGAAAGTGGAGAAACTCATAGATGTTCAGATGCTGCAGTGGTTAAACAAGGGAGATGCCTGGACCAACAACAGAAGGAGGTACTAGTTAAAAATATAACAAATGAGGAAATCCTAGCTGCTATGAAAGATATGCCTCATGACAAAGCCCCGTGGGTAGATGGTTTTTCAATTAAGTTCTTCACAACACAATGGACTATAGTTGGCCTGAAGTATGTGCTGCAGTCAAGGAATTCTTTGAAACGGGCAAAATGCATAGAGGCATGAATTGTACAGCAGTCACTGTTATTCCAAAAGTGCATAATCCCAGCCAAGTAAAAGAATTCAGACCCATAGCTTGTTGCACCACTCTATAAAAGATAATAACCAAAGTACTCACCAACAGAATAAAAAGTGTAATAGGAGACCTCATTGGGGAGTCACAATCAGCCTTTATTGAAGGAAGAAGCATTGCAGACAAAATTTTATTTACTCATGAGTTATTCAAAGGATATAACATGAAAGGGATCTCCCCAAGGTGTGTTTTAAAAGTTGACCTCAGGAAAGCATATGATACTTTAGATTGGAGTTTCCTTGAAAGAATGCTACTAGAGCTTGGTTTTCCTTATAAATTTGTCAGTTGGATAATGGAATGCATCACCACAGTGACTTACTCCTTCAATATGAATGGAGGACTGACAAAACCATTTCAAGGAAGAAGAGGCATTCGACAAGGTGACCTTATGTCCCCTTATTTGTTTGTCATAGCCATGGAGTATCTGCAAAGGGAACTTGCACAACTGGCAAAGAACATGAACTTCAAATTCCATCCCAGATGTAACAAACTGGGAGTAATGCACATTTGTTTTGTTGATGACCTACTAATATTCTGTAAAGCTGACATTACATCTATCAGACTACTGCAACAGACATTTCTCAAGTTCTCAAGCTCATCTGGCCTCCAGGAAAATGCAGAAAAAAGTTCCATCTACCTAGCAGGTATCTCTGACAACACAAAACAAGACATTATGCAAGAATTGGGGTACACTGAAGGTACTATGCCATTTAGGTACCTAGGTGTACCACTAGCATCCAAGAAACTGTCTGTTATCCAATGTTGGCCATTAGTAGAGCAGATTACACAGAAGATCAATTGTTGGACAGCAAAATTGCTTTCATATGCTGGTAGGCTCCAATTAAATAAATCAGTCGTGTTTGGGGTACAATCATACTGGGCTCAAATCTTTCTGTTGCCTAAGAAGATATTGAAGATGATTGAAGCCATGTGTAGATCATTTCTTATGGTCTGGCACAGCTACTATCACCAAGAAAGCACTAGTTTCTTGGGACAGAGTATGTTGGCCACAAGCTGCGGGTGGACTAAATGTAATTAACATGTACTACTAGAACAAAGCAGCAATTGCAAAACACCTGTGGGCAATTACAATGAAGAAGGACAGCTTATGAATCCGATGGGTTCACACCTTCTACATAAGAAACATGTTAGTGGAGAGTAGTCCAATACCCAAGAATGTTGCTTGGGTGGTCAGAAAGATAATGGAGACAAGGAACCTTGTTCTTGAAGTACAGGGGATTCATGGGGATCTGGTCAACAGACTTGTCCAAATACAAAAAGGGAGGGAAGTTCAGTATAAGCAAGTTATACCACATGCAGTTTGCTCAACTACAAAAAGTACCTTGGAAGAGTATCACTATGCAACCTCATCTACACCCTAGGTATAAATGCATACTATGGCTGGCAGTACAGAGAAGATTAGCAACAGTAGACAGACTCGTCAAATTTGGAGTTCAAGTGTCCTGGAATTGTGTATTCTGTAAGCAATCTGATGAACTATTTGAACACCTATTTTTTGACTGTCCAATAGTAAGAGAAATATGGACTAGGCTACTCAAATGGCTAGGCCATTCTAGACCTATTCAGGCTTGGCAAGAGGAGGTCCAATGGATCAACAAAGGTGCAAAAAAGAAATCTGGTCACTGGGCAATTGTTACATGTGTATTTGGTATGTTGGTATACACAATTTGGAGGGAAAGGAATGTGATTAGATTTTAAGGGGGAGTACTCAAAGAGAACAGTATCTGCAGAGAGATTGTATTGCATATACATACCAGAGGGAGGACAATCAAGAGCTGGCAAGGAGCATTGCAACAATTAGACTATTTTCCACTAGGCTCTTTGACTTGACATATATAGAATGCCTCTATTGTTTCCTATTCTAGGTAAAGCTTTCAGCTGATGTAAATAGCAACACAGTAGAGATGTCATTAGAGCATCAACTTAGTGTAGTTAGAAGACAGAGACATAGATGGTCGGCATCTATCTGATTTGTAAAGCTATTTTTTTTAATGAATAGAAAGTCACTATTTACCAACAAAAAAAAGAATATATTGGGGCGTAAGCCCTAACATTCCAGGCGTTTACCTAGGCATAAGTCCCAATGTCCTAGGCGTTCATTTGGGGCATAAAGCCCAAAAACTTTTTCAAATTTGAGTCAGAATTGCTTTATCCCAATTTCATAATATTCATTCTTTGTTATTTACCATTGAGAAATAAATACACTTTTGACCTTTATCTGCAAAGTGCAAACTACAACGTAAAAAGAAGTTTTCTCTCCACGTTGGTTCGACCCTTGCATTTCCTTATTTATTCTTCATTTTCTTCAAAAATAAAAAAACTTTTGCATTCTTTAATTTATTATTTCATGTTACTTTTTTAATTCAGGATTTTTTTGGTGTTGCTCTAGTTTAGATATTACTTTGATGACATAGGTGTAATACATCTTTATGTCACTTATTATAACAACATGGCCAATTATTTTGTGTATTTGAGCCCCGCTACGCTACTTAATATTTTTCGTATCTGTGTTTGTGATTTTGTAATTTGCGGGAGCGGTTAGTTTGGCATCAGGGAGGTTTTAGAGGGATTGGAGACACTTAGTGTGTGTTTGGTATTAAGGAATATATTTTCTAATTTTCTCATGTTAGGTTGGCTTAAATATTTTGGAAAATATTTTTCTCATGAACTCATTTTCCTCTAATTGGAGGAAAATATTTTTCCTATCAAGAGAAGAAAAAACATTTTCCAAAATCCTCTTCCAACCTTCCCCCCATTCCCCATTCCCTATTCCACCCCAACTCCACCCACCCTAACGCCACCCCCACCCCCAGCCCTAACCCCCTCCCCTACCCCACCCCATCCCTAAATAGAAATATTATTGTGCTTTCTTTTCATGTTATAGATACAATATTTTTTTCATTTCAGCAAATGAGTTTTTTTTTATGATATAATTTTTTTTTGTTTTAACAATAAGTACTTTCTTTCCATGATATTGAAAAAATAATTTTTTTTCATTTTAACAAAATAATATAATAAAAATTATTTTCTTTCATTTTAACAAAATGATGTAGTAAAAAGCATTGTTTTATTGCAACAAAAAGAGTATTTTTTTTTCATGATGTAGAAAAAATATTTTCTTTTTATGATGTAGAAAAAATATTTTCTTTCATTTTAATTAAATGAGTACTTTATTTTCATGTTGTAGAAATAGTACTTTCTTTTTCAACCAAAAAATAGTTTTTTTTAGTTATGGAGTACAAATTTCAACGTTATTTTTGTGTAAGAAATTAAAGCAACACATTAGTTTCTTTGGATTTATATAAATTTTTATTAGAATAATAATTAAATTCTTGAAGAAATAGAATCATAAAAATTTAGAGGGGAGAGCACATGAGACATAGGGACTTGGGGGAAGGGGGGAATAAGGAGAGTAGCATAAAAAATTATTTTCCTAAAGAATATTTTCTACTCTCTAACCAAATACTAGAAAATATTTTTCAGAAAAAGGTTTTCACTCACTAACCAAATAAAGGAAACTAAGTGATAAAACCGCTCATTTTCATGAAAACATTTTCTTCATACCAAACACACCCTTAGTCTCATTTTGGAAGCTTAAGTTGTACGAGTTGATCAAGGTTTAGCGTTCGTGTAACGACCTCAGATTTGTGTTTTAGTTATTTCAATAGGTTCGTATGATGATTTTGCAGTTAGGACGAAATTGGATTTGGAGGTCCTAAAATCTCTTGGCTCTATTTGTCAAACGTTGGCAATTTGTAGCTTTGGAGAGTTCATAGATTTGACGGAGGATTGACTTGATTATATCGGAGTCAGATTGTTATTTCGAAACTTAGTATATGTTCGTTATGTCATTTGGAACTTGTGTACAAAGTTTGATTGGAAATCGAAATTTTTAGGCTTATCGGACGCTTGGTTACAAATTGGAAGTTCTTGAACTTAAGAGAAGGATTTGATTGTTGATTCTTGATTTTAATATATGTTGTGGTGCTCTGAGCATTTGGAAAAGTTTGGATTAAGTATTTGATACTTGTTGATATGATTTGAAGGGGTCCCGAGAGGCCCGTTTGTTTTCGGGATGCATCAGAGCTTTTGTGGCCTTCAACATATCTAATTTTGGTGCATCACAATTGCGAACCGGAGGTCGCATTTGCGACCAAGCCTTGTTGGGGACCTCGCACTTGCGAGAGATTGCATCGTATTTGCGATAATGGGCTCATGGGAGGACCTTCGCAATTTCAAAGTTGGTGTGTCGCATTTGCGACTGGTTGCTGGTGAGGTATTAACATTTACAAGCCTTTAGTCACATTTGTGAGGGTCGCAATTGGGAGCCAGAGGTCGCACATGCGACATCTGTAGTTATGTTAAGAGTAATCCACACAAATCAATCGAGCCTTTTTTTTTCACAAGTCAATACAGAACAAAGATATCCTGGTAGTTAAGGTGCTAAAGGAGCTAGTTCCAGGAAGGAGGGTGGTTGCAATCATATGAGCTAATACATGATGTTCAAACATTAAACTTTTGGAACAAATATCAGGATTTTTTGCGGACAAGATTGTTTTTGCCTCATCTAGCGACACTTTGAAAATCTTTAGGCCATGTGTTTTAGACAAATCAC